GTTGATAAGAGTTCAGGAGCGACATGTTCCAGCGAGAATGAAGGATAGGGTATGGCAAGTTATGTGAAACTTGGATAACCACGGATGTTATGACCTTGGTCAAAAAGAAAAAGGAAACATATATAAGCTCAATGGATGGGAACTGATGACTCCCCTGAAATATATAAGGAAAATAGAAAAGAACTTGAACAAGGAATTAGAAGGGCAGAGACCCAGGAACCCATTTCACAGACTCCAGCCAATGTCAAGCAGTGACTGGAGGAGCAGCAGAGGAGGATTGAGAAGAAGAGAGAAAAATGAACTCCATTGCAGTAAAATCTCACACTATATTCAGTATTTCAAGATGGTGGTGGAGTGTGACCACACTTTGCGTACAATATGTGAATAAACACTTTTCACTGTATTTTATATACATGTGACAATAAATCTAAATCTCTTTCCTGCCTATCTTTGTGTCATCTGAAAATTTAGCCATTACACCTTTGATCTCCTCATCTAAGTTAATGATAAGAATTGTAAAGGGTTGAGGGCCCAGCACAAATCCTCACCGGAACTCACTTAATAAATCCTGCCAATCTGAAAAAGACCCATTCACGTGTACCCTCTGTTTTCTGTTCACCAATTAATCTTCTTTCCATTCTTATATGTTACCCATACACTATATGATTGACCTTTGTGCAATAGCCTTTTATGTGTAATATTATCAAACACCTTTTGGAATCCAAGCACAGTCCATCAGTGAGCTGCCCTTTACCCACAACTTGTGTTACTCTTTCATGGAATTCCAGTAAGTTGGTTAAATGTGGTTGTCCTTTCACAAAACCATGTGGACTCTTCCTGATTACCTTGAGATTTTTCAAGTGACCAGTTATACCTCCATAATGATCAATTATAATAACTTTCCTTGGATAAACACTAAGCTAACTGGCTTCCGGTTTTCTGCCTCCCTCCCTTCTTAAATACACGGGCTATATTTGCAATTTGCCAATCTGATTAATCTTTCCTGAACCTAATGAATTTGCAAAGTTAACACCAACATATCTAGCACCTGATCAGTCACTTCTTTGAAGACCCATGAATGAAGTCTGTTTGGACCCATAGACTCAGCAACCTACAGCTCCATAAGTTTGTTCAGTATCACTTCACTTGTGATTATAATTTCACTAGGTTCCTCTCTTCCTTTTACTTCATGGTTTATATATGTTACAAAGACAAAAGATTTGAAGACAGAAGCAAAATAGTCATTTATTTCATCTACAATTTCCTCATTATCTCCTATCGATTCCCCAATCTTATCCTCTAGAGGACCAATACTAATTTTAGTTATCCTTTTCCTTTTTAGATACCTATAGAAATTTTTTTCTATCTGCTTCCACTCATGGTCATAGAATCATACAGTATAGAATAGGCCATTCAGCCCATTGAGTCGGTAGTGGCAAAAATAAAATACCTACTCTAGTCCCACTTTTCTGCACTAAGCCCATGACCTTGAATGATATGACACTTCAAGTGCTCATTCACGTACTTTTTAAAGGTTGCAAGACCTAGCTGCATCAGTGGGGCAGTGCCCAGAGTGCCAACAAGGACAAAAATTACTGCCAGCAGCTCTGCCACATTCATGGGAGTGGCTGGGTAAATGCTGGACTCTGTTACACATTGACTATGCAGGTTCTTTCATTGTTCGTAGCCATTGTGGACATCCACTCAAAGTGGCTGGATGTGAAAGTGTTCATTTGTCAAACATAAGGACAACAATAGAAAAACTGTGTGCGTCTTTTGCAACACATGACCTCCCGGAAATGTTGGTCACAGATTATGGGCCATCGTTTACCAGCAGGGAATTTGAGTCTTTCCTAAAGTCGAATAGCATTCGGCATGTTCGAATAGCTCCATACCATCCATTATCCAATGATCTGGCAGAAAGAGCAATCCAAACTCTGAAGGCAGGCTTACAGAAACAGCTACAGCCTCATTAGATATCAAACTGTCCCAGTTCCTATTTGATTATTAGAGCATCTCTTATGCAACTACAGGGATAGCTCCAGCAGAATTACTAATGGGGGGAAGACTCTCGCCATACTAAATCTGATCTTCCCAGACCTGGGCTGGGGAAGATGAAATGGCATCAGGAACGCTAACGCTGGGCACAAGCCTCTGTTAAGCATGGGAGACAGTTTACTTCAGGGGATGACGTTTGGTGTAAGAATCACAGGAATGGCCCTGCATGGGTAAGAAGCATGGTCAACGTGAGGTCCAGTGACGTATATAGTTCGGGTAGGTGTGAAGGTCCTGAACAAGCACGTAGACCACATGAAAGCAGCAAACTTGAAAATAATGCAGGAGCAAAACATGTCCAGCTTTGTGACAGCTTTTCTGACTGTTCTGGAACCCGTGGGTTCTCCTTCATTGAAGACACCTCGGAATCTGAGATGAACACAGTGGGCATTGACACCTCGATGCCTTTGCTGCCTGAAGGTCAGAATGAATTTCTTTCGCATCGCTCCAGTCACAAGAGGTGAGCTACTGTGCATTACACACCACCTGTATCAGAGGCAGAGTTGGAGGAACCTGACCTAGTGCTAAAATGCCTGAGGAAGAAATAAAAAAAAACCAGCTTATGTCCTCGGACTCAGAGCGGGAGGAATGTAGTGATTGTAACGAGGTCAGTCAGGTAAACCTCAGAGAATATGAGTTGCCTGATTGGGGCTGTTAATCTGGTCCAATCAGGGAGCTCTGGC